AAACAAATGTTACCATCTCAAATGGAATCGTACAGACTAACAAAATGTACAACTGAAGGAATTAATAAGAACAAATTACAAACGTATACATGGAGGGATGTTCACAAACAAAACCATCAAAAGTGGATCTTACACCTGGAACTGTATCGAAAGAGCAGGAATCGAGAGTAAATAAATCAGTTGGTTTATACTAGCTCATAAAAAGAAATTGCATACTGGAAGCCAACACGTGGTATGAAAGTAGTTGTATTTTGTGCTCACATAAAAGTAAGAATTTGAATAACGTGCACAAACAAACCGGTAACTGGATAAGATAAACCAGAATCATTCATAAGGCATACAAACAAAAAGTGTAAACAAAATTGTCGAACATACGTTCAACAAGTGTTACAAAATAATAGCTCCCAAATCTATTAGGTCGACATTGAATACATAATCAAATTTTAAAAATTCTGCTTTACTGTTTGCTTAAACAGCGAGTCTACTACATAATAGTTATAACCGGTATCCAGCATTCGGAATACTTAGGCAAATGTGCACCGTTCATAGCCACACAGTGACGTCCTTACGAGTTCGACAATTTATAAGACGATAACGCCAGTAACACCCTAAAAATAACATTACAAACGTTCAAAATAAGGCACATGAGTTACAAAGGAGATACTGTCAGAAAAAATGCAGGTATAAATATAATGAACGGTACCTCCAATATCTTTTTCAAGAGTTAGTATAGACCATATCGATTTCGGTGCGCTCGATTCTCGTTCTTTCGAAACGGTTTCAGGCATTTTATAATGTACCTGTAAGGTGCATTTTTCTAATGATACAGACATGTAATTCAACTGACTTATAACAATAGGAAAAAAATATTCCTTTCGGTCAATGGTATAAATCAATCCCACTTGCTCAAAAAATGAGCAATCGACTAGATGACAATAATTATGTGAGTAATACAATTAATTACTATTTTTCCAACCCTTAAAAGAAATAAGGGGCGTTTTCCAAAACCAACCACATCGAGCAGAAGCAGTCTATTCACAAATTATCAATCTAAGTACAACACTTGAATATTGCGACTGCCATAAATCATTTATTGAGTGAAACAACGATAAAGCAATCATAAAAAGACTTAATACTATCAAGGAATTTGCTAAGAACCAGAATTCACAAACTATGATGCGATGATAATTGCGATGAACCTCAAAAGTGAAAACGAATGGACACATATACAAGCAATAGTAAAAGGAATAGTACATAATACAGAAATTCGAAGGGTTAGCTATGAGAAGAAATATACATTTGGATATTAACTCTAAATACCTATATAAGGACTTACAAAACCGGAAATCACATGACAAAAAAGCCAGTGCATATAAAGATTGATTCTTACCCTCTAAAATAATCTGACATTCGCTAAAATTGCTCGCATTTATGTAACCATTCCATATACTTGGCGACTAGTTAACAATTATTATACAACAGAAATATACAGACCTACTGTTGGAACGTTCTAATTTTGGACATGTGGTTCGTTTCTCCCCCTTTCTGTCACTATGCACACCTATATTTTCGAGCAGTATTTAGAACGATATTAAGCAATTACCTAATTATCTGATATTTCGTTGGTTAATTTGTACCTACTTTTATGAATAACCATGTACTCTTACTGGTCACACAGAGACGTTCATGAATATCTGTGCATGTTTGTCTGACTACCTTGTCACATTGATGCTTATCACTTCATTTCAGTTCAAGAAATTGTTTATATATATATATATATATATATATATATATATATATATATATATATATATATATATATATAGTATTTCAACTCGGTTTTTAAACTTTTAACAGGGTTTTTTAAAATAACCAAAAAATTTTTTAAAATTTTCACAGCGTTTTTTAAAATAACCACAGCGTTTTTTAAAGTTTTTTTGAAAAAAGAAGATTCATCAATAAAAACTTTTATAAATGTATCTTCAATGTTCATAAAATTTTGAGCATAAATTTGTCGTTTGTTTTTACTGGATTCCGAATTTATATTGACCGATGTATAAGAAATCTTTTTCAAAGTAATCTGAAGTCTATAAATTATCTTTTTTATATAGATTCAAGAGAAAGGCCTATAGAAAATATGTTTTCTATTTTTTCTCGAATTTCTACCATCGTTATTAACGGGTTTAATTCTATCAATTCTTCAACAACATTGATAATATCACCGCATATCTTCTTATTTGATGGTTTTCCTGTTTTTTTCTTCTCAACTCGCGATTCCTTTTTATACAACCTTATAATATTTGTAGCGGCCTGATAGTTTACATCTGTAAGAAATGCCGCATCCTTGACGCTGTATCCATCTTCAATAACTTTTTTATAAGGCTTTTTCTTTTTTCATTCGAAATCAAGTTGTTTTTTCTATTTATTTCTGACATTCTAAGGATTACAAAAAATTTAAAAAAACGCTGTGGTTATTTTAAAAAACGCTGTGAAAATTTTAAAAAATTTTTGGTTATTTTAAAAAACCCTGTTAAAAGTTTAAAAAACGAGTTGAAATACTATATATATATATATATATATATATATATATATATATATATATATATATATATATATATTTATGTGGTCTGTCTGCTTGTTTGAAATAAACCATACCTAATAACACTGCGTCAGGACGTAATTATTACCACACTGAAGGGTAAATGTAATCACAGTGTGTTCAAATTGAGTAAAAACACAAAGTAATACAGATAACATTCATTACAGAGCTATAGATGTCGTTTTTTCATTGAAATCATGAACCAATTACTGTTAGACCACCACCTGAAAGCACTAGACGGCCATTTCTTCGCAGTATGGAACTGTATGACACTCTGGACAAAGTTCGAAAAGCATACTTAGTACACGAAACATATTCTCATGATGAAGATCACACCAAAAATGTTGATGTCTACCAAAAGAAAACAAATCGTACTGAATTAAAGAGGGAATAATATTAAATGAAAATCACTGAGTTAAAAAACGTGATCTAACCTCTCTATACTTTCCGAGAAGAGCTTACGCTCAATGTAAACAGTTACTTAAGGCAATATAAATCCAGAAAATGCCCCTAAAACAACTATACAAGTATTCGACAGTATAGTACTCGATAGCATAATGTGTAAGTCATAAGTAAAAGCACTTTAGGAACTTAAAATGCTCATAGAAAAAACGGGTATAAGAGGAGCAAACACAAATGAAGATAAACAATTAGCCTCATAAAATTTATCATACGATTTTGAGTTACGCAGAAAATTGAGATTGAAGATTTACATGAATGAAGTACTCAAATGAGATTCTAAAAGCCTTACCTTATGGACGTCTAGCAATAACACTTGATGTATTCACGTTTTAAATTTCACCTTTCGATTGTATACTGATTAGCTTCTTGTGTTTTAGATGTTATGATTCTCTGATAATTTGGTTATTGTACTCAAATTTCCTAATTGTTAGAAATGCATAAACTCATAAATCTTCATTTTAACATTTAATTCTGTCCTATCCGACAAGGCGGATTGGATGTACCTGGGTGATTTGGTATTACGGAACAATTTCGAACTATATATTTTGCGGTTAGATGAACAAAGACTTGGTTAATACAGTGCATATTTTTCAGCTCCTCCAAATGGTCTTTTTACCATAACTTGACACTTCTACTAAGCAGAAGCTAAATGTTACATCCCTTTCTTCATGCTTAACTTGAGCTTATGATGGATGACCTCAATGCACGAGCGTATTAGTCTGATATATTTTTCCGCAGACTCGAACACCACATTGTTGTATCATCGTCCATGAGTGCTATAAAGGTAGACGAAGGGAGCATTTGAGGCAGTATATTGGGCATTGTTTAAACACTTGAACGCAGAAAGTCAATAAATAACCTGTTGCCAGTAACACAATACTGAAAAAATCAGATATATCTTATGTTGAATATTCCGTGTAAAATCGTTATCTGGATGAATCTGTTTAATGTTGAGCTTTCTGTTGAATAATGCTTAGGGTTGTAGATACTATACTTTGATATTTACTCACGTACATAGATAATACCTCTATTAAAACTATCATCTTGAAAATAAAACCTTTTTGTTTTGTAAATTACTGAGATAGATAGGTTTAAGTTCATCAGATTGCTTGATTCATCGAGGTTTATTATTAGTCCAATACAAAAGTGAAAAGTTTATTCACCTTGCCATAGTTGATCGTCCAGCCATACTTTATATGAGTCACCCTAGCCACCAACAAAACACGTGATATAAGTAGCCTTATTCCCCATCCTCAGCTGTCTACACCTTTTGTATTTCTCTTCCTCCTGACTGGGTTTTACAAGAGTTTTAAGAAAGTAAATTTAAGCCCAAGTCATGTTACAAATCATGTCAGGATCCAAATATGGTAATAAATCAAATATATAAAGAGAATTAAGCCTAAAACTCGAAAATGTACTGTTTCCCATCTCATAGTCAGTAAAAGAAATAGTGATTACCTCTTTATAATTAACATTTAGTACATTTGTTGAGTCATCAAATCTAGATTACTATAAGTAGTAAAGGTTTTCTGAAAGAAATTTTGAGGACACCTCAAACAAACATTAACGACAAGATTCAGCTACAGATAAAAGTTAACGGTAGATCTTGTCTCTTAATATTTTCTAGTCTCAAAGGTTTTTAAATTGTACAATCAAACTCCACAACACTAGCCAAATCATTCATTAATAATCTTAATTTTTGTCTTCACACTGTTCATATGAATTGACAGGAAACCAACTTATCTCCCTCTCCTCAAATGAGAAAAACAGAATCATATTCTATTGACAATAGGATGTACAAGTAAATAATACATATTCTAACTATCATTTAGTGGAATAGTCATTTTTATCTTTACAATTAAAGTTATTTTATGTATATAGGAAAGTCCATATGAAGTTATCAAAAAATAAAAGAAAATGACAAATGACAAATATTAATTTTTTTTTTTAATGATGTTTCGTACACTTTATACATGTAAAATCTAAAAAACAAATTGTTCGATATCATCATAAATTTTTTGATTGTTGTAAAAAAAAACCATGCAGAAACGAGAGATAATGTAAAGGATTTTTTATGGTACCCTGGAGTTGACCTTATTCATTTAACAATATTTTCATCGATTTTCAATAGTGATAATTACATCAACCGAAATCTTTCTTCATTCTATGGTCAGGTAGATATTATGCAGAAATCTGATAGTATAGGTAAGCAAATAAATCTGAAGTGATTGACGGTCTCTGTCAATATCGGAATAAATGTAAAGAGACAAAGCACAAAAATATGGGTGGTAATTGTATATAAATAAAACTCATGATTTCTGATGCAATATTGTTGAAGTAATGCATTTTTGTAGATTTACAAAATGCCAATTGGGAAATATTACGAAAATCTCCATAGCCCAGATCAACTTCAACATTCTCAGTTCATGAGTTGTTATCCTATGTTATGAGGAATTGTATTGAAGTGTTTTGAAGTAGGCTAACCAAATTAGAAACGTCTTTATAATTTACAACAACATATTTGTGATAATGTAGCTCTGCATAGTTGTGGATCAACCAGCAAAAATCCGACAGGATAGACTATAGAACTTATGTAAGCTAACCACTTAAACTGTATTAAAGTTCCAATAGATAACCAATGAAAATAACTTGAGTTGCTCAGTACCAAATGACTAAGAGTTGCAGTAATAAATGGTGACCACATAGCTATAGTTATAGCACATAAAATCATATTAAGCTTTACTGCTTTCTGTTCAGGAAAGTGTTCACAAGTTCCACTTGACCATGAATTACTATTCCATTGATTCAATGACTCTTGTTTTTGCTGTTGTTGTTGTTGTTGTTGTTGTTGTTGTTGTTGTTGTTGATTATCTGATCGAGACTGTGATAAAATATTATTTTGTTTACATATTTCAGTTATTGAATGATCGTCCTTCTCTAGATCACTTAATTTATTAAAAATTATGTGATCGGTAAATGATGATGTATTAGTCATATTTGTTGACTGTGTTAGTTTAACATTCTTAATATCGACTATATTATTTTTATTCTGTTCATTATGTGAAATTATATCATTATTTTGTAACGTTAATTCATTTGTTCGTTGGTTAACAAATTGTCCCAATTCAACTTCGTCAATAACTGATAATAAAGGCTTATAGAAATATTCTGGTATTATTACTTGACCATGTTGTGGGCAAAAATGTTTGATAATTTTTTGACAATTATTATCGTACATTTCTTTCATCAGATGATGATGATGATGATTATTGTTGAATACTTCCCATGGATAATCATTATCCTCATGGTTAGTAGCATGATTAATAATGGGACTGGATGGATAATTGGTTATAATATCATAATTGTTTATTTTTGGTGTAAACCAATTATGATGTATGATTTCGTCTGTAACCTCAGTTGTTTGACTTGAAATCCCAGCATTAGAAGAACTTGATCCTTGTTGATATTGTGATGTTGTTGTTGTTGTTGTTTGTAAGGATGATATTGGTGTCATATGTAACAAGTTAAATGAAAATAAATGTTTATGAGATGGTGACTTGGAATATTTTTTTATACAGTTTTGATTATCAATAGTTTCATCGGTAATTTTCGTCGACTCAATTATCTCTTGATCTGCATTTGGATTAATCTCTATCCATGAATATCGATTTTTCTTGAATTCATTATTTCCGTTTGTATGAAAATATTTATATTCAATTTGTAAATTTTCCAATTTACTTAAAGAATTACATTTTTGCTGTCATATAGGTAAATAAAATATTATTTAAATATATTTGTAATCATAATCAATCATAACTTTTATGGAAAAATAACATGTAACAGCATTGAATACCATAAATCGACAATAGTGATATTTAGTTAAATTAATTTTAAGAAAATAATTAATATATAAAGAGTAAATGAAAAATGAATAACATTAAATAGTCAATGGATAATAAATTGGAGACCGCTCATCGAAAGAGGATATTCTGAATACCTCTGTTTTACATTTATACCATGAATGATGTATGCATCATTAACAATCAATGAAACAGTATGAAGATAAACTATTATACTGTAGTTCTGACTGAAACCAATTAAAATTTAATTTCGTTGAAATCATGAATCGACCAATTTTAGACCATAATTAGAAACCTGGAAGCACTGGATGGAGGTTTCGTCCTAATATGAAACTCGGAAGCAGTGCGCGTCCACGACCCCCGTTTGCAGGAATCGAAATTGTTTAAGGCGATTAAATTAAATAGAACATGTAGCTAATATATAGTTGATAATCTATTCGAATCTGTATCACTGCTTTATTTCAGTGAAATCGAAAACTAATCGGTCTTGGTCATTGATTTGATCGTAAAATCAACAAGCGAACTAGTGTTATCCACAAAATAAAAATCAAATTTCATAATATATTAAGTTTATCGTTGTATATAAAATCAATATATAATATTAACAGAAGGTAAAATATCTAGTTTATCAATCAATTTGCAAGTAATTCGTTGTATTTTTCAAATTATTCATTATACTACTGCATATGTATGCTTTGTATTAAAGTTTTTTCCGAATAATTCTGCAACAAGTATACTATTTTAAGACCACTGATTTCGAATCTAAACGTTTATATATGTGTATGCATGATTATTATCACACTCAGTTTCATTAAGCATTAGGAGTAAACGCTGTTTTTCATAAGTGAAATATTATTAACCTACAAGGTTATACACATAAAACTGAGACAAGCTTTGATTATCACTGTTATTACTTAATTGAAAATTCAGTTGAATATTATGATATCACTTCATAAATATTTTCTGTTTGTAATCTGTTTATGCAATGAGTTAGTATGAGTCATAAAAATATATTTTATCAATAATAATGTAATTTCATGACAGCGATTCTTTCCTTTGTCAAGAATTTTTATCTGCATTTCTATTTACCTGTTATTAAAATAGTCATTCACTTATTCTATTAATCAATAATTTTATTTTGTCAACCAAAACACTGTTTTGGATACTGTCATTAATTTTGTTTTATGGTTAATTTCTAGTCGGCTACATTAGATTCTGACAATTTGACTAAAATGCACACCTTTTACTATGTTTTTCATATTTTAACAATGAAACTGTTTTTGACAGGTAAAAATCTATGCTTCACACAATAACATCGAACTGGTATGTTAGTAAAACTAATTATTTTGGATGAAAAGTGTAGAATCTTTCTGGTTTTAACTTGCTTAGTTTCTAGTCATAAAATAATCTGGGATCGGTTCCTGACATTTATGACACCCAACAATCTTCTTGACCTCATACTGATAATTATCATACGCTTCCATAGAACCCCGCTGGGCTTCTAGTGACAAGGCAAGACCGATGGAGTGATTCACTGAGAAGTAACGATACAAGGTCGCGCGATATCACGAACCGATTGAAAATAAACTTGTATTTCATTTTATTCTATTTCAGCAGTTTTTAAGTTGGGAATTCTCACACAAGATCGAAGGTCCTGGGTTTGATCGTAGATTCGTACTACTGGAGTGTCTTTTGCTGGGGTAAAACGACTATCTGGTACTTCAACATTTTTAATATCTGTCTAGCTAAGATTGATTAATTATCTCAATGGCATTCAACAATCGCTACAATTTCATATTAATATCCTGAGGACTACAATAATGTTGTTTAATTAATGGTGAAATAAAGAAAACATCTGATATTTTTCGTTATTTAGTATACTTTTCAAGACAAACCATAAAGTACTGTCTTCTAGCGAATTTCATGATTATTGTTTAAAATGCATTAATTGTAGAGTCTTGAGCATGAAAAATGTAAATTCTCAGCGGCTATGAGATAAGAGTATGCGTTTTAACGAATAAAATGTATTTCCACAACGAAACTCTTCCAAATGTCTTATGCCAAACGTTACAGCCGTAAACTATCTCACTGAAAAATATTTTAATGGATTAATCGATAAAGGATAGACTATTTTCTTCACATTTAATCTGTCATTAATTTACTATATTTTTACGTTGGATTCTATGACAGGCAATACCGCCACCACTGTTATTGAACGTAATTGACGTACAAATTATTGCATAAGAATTAATTTTTCAATTACGATCTTTAGTTAGGTCGGGAATTTTATTGACAGATAAGATTAAAACAAGAGCCTGAAATTTCCTAAACTATGAACACTGATTAACCTCACTGTTAAACAAAATAAAATGTGATGTAGGTCCAAATCTCTCTCCTTTAATTCATCAAACGATTGAAAGTATCAAACATATTATAGCACACAATTCTATTTCACTGACAGCTAAATTTACGATTTGAAACCGTTATTCAGTATGGGAAAAAACGAATTAGTGTTCATTAGAAAAATACAAAATAAAAGACTTCTGACTATAAAGATTACTGAAACCTTGTTTGTCATAAATAACTCGAAGTGTTTGGAGAATGAAGTTTAAATTAGCATTCTCTAAATGTAAAATACATTATAAAACAGTGAGAATTGCTTCAATTAGTATTCGGAATATTGTTTCTGTGAGATGTTTAGATATTTCGAAAAATTAAAAGAAATGATGAATTTCACTGAATTCTTTTGAAGATATTGTAATACATCAATCTAGTGTGTTTAGAAAACTTAAAATTAAAGGAAAAACTGACATTAATTACCAAGATGAATTGGTGATGAACTTTATCGAAAGTTTCTGTTCAGTTTGTAAAATGTATGGACACAGTTGTTACGTTTGTTTAAATACCAATGAAAACAAACGTAATCTTCATGAAAAGAATTCGTCCGGTTGTGTAGTAATTGACCTGAACAACTGTTTACATTCTGACAGTTTCGATTGTTGAACTTAAATATTAACATCCTAACATTAAACACATATTATCATCCAGTTATTCATCACACTTTTGTGCTTCCCTGACGGGTTACGATGAGATATAACCACTTAAAACTATTTTAACTCCATAAGCAAACAGCTATCTTACTTTAACTTTCTATGGTAGTGTAAACGTGTTTAAACCAATGATTATCTTAATTTTTATTTATATTCGTAAGTTCCACAAATGTAATTCTAAGCTTACTCCTAGACCATCGAGCATAGAATCTTAGCTTAGTCAAAGTCAGAACAACTGCATTAATTAGCTTGATAAGCTTTATCTGTTTCAAACGTGTAAATTAACACCGTTAGTGTACAAAAACAAAAATTAATGCAGTGAGTTAGAGAGGAAAAAGGATGATTCATAAAGATACATGGAGCAGTAACTGGAGCATAGAAAAAATCAGTCAACGAACATGGAAGATTATGACTGGTGAATAAACAAAGCTTAGTTATGCAAAATCAAAATGAGTCAACGTAGTGCGGATGTTTAATATCATAGTTGATGCATCCGTTTATCGATCACACCTAACAGTCAATTTCTCATATCGACTAAATGTGAACTTGGACGCATTACATTATCATGTCATTAAACTCTTAATTTCAGTATCTTTAATTATTAATCAAATTTGCTTAGGAAACACTGACATTGATATAACAAAATTTAGTTATTATAGTGACTGGTTTGTGCTTACTATCTAGTCGTTCATGAATACAGATCATATTCAGCTGTGTAATAAGATAAGCTATACTAATATCAGAATAACAGTGATCACAAAAAGCTGTTTCCAGTTAACCATTTTGATTAGAACGAGGTAATAGCAAACCTTCAAATTTTTGTGAAATTACTGCTTAGCAATACCTTTAAGAGGTTGAATTAAGTAATGTTGAGTCTGGAAAACTGTGTTCTGTGTATTTTCAACGAACATGCCAACCCGTAAGCTCACTCTTTATTTATATTATAATATTGGTTAGGAGAGGATTTCAGAAACATTAATCACTAAAAATACACTTATTCATTGGAAGAATAAATTATGTTATCATTAATTCTAAGAAACAATCAATATAAGTCATTTATCAAGTTCATAATTACGTACTCAGCTTCAAGGTATGATTTGGGCATAACAAATGACGAAACTAATAAAGAGAAATTTGAACTTGTAACTCACCGGTTAAGTGTCTGGTGATTTATTTACTAACACACTGCTTCTATCTAAACTAAAAGTTCTAAGTTAAATACTGCATAAAGGACAATAGACCAAAGAGACTACATCTGTAGGTTAGGATCAACAAACATTTTCTACTTAATGACTTTACTTTCTTGATGCTGTTTCAAAATATACTGGTTATGAACTATAAATTCAACCAGAAATGTTGTCTAAATGTTGTCGGTCATCGAGAGTTTCTTAATATTCTGATGCTACAATTATTTTCTTGTTTAAAGAAGATGCTATGAAAACATGGTGTTTTTTAATGTCCAGATTTTACATTTCAATCAATAAAAGGAACTTTGGACAATCAAATTACATTGACAAAACAAGCTTTTCTCAGATAAATATAGAATTACATATATAGAAACTTGATGCAGTACGTGTTCATTATTTACAATATCGAAAATATATATAGGTAACTTAAATGGTGTACATGAATAAAAATTCGTTGAAATAAATCAAGACTTCTGAATCCATTCATCAACATACCTCAGCAACCAAATACAGGTTATACTCGACTTTTTAAGTTTGCTTTTTCTCACTAAAACGTTGATGACTCGACTTGGATACTCAATATCAAAATAATTATAAGTAAACTTAATAGTATAAGCAGAAAATGTACTCAGTAAAAAAAACATTATTTGAATTTGCTATCCCCTTAAAACAAAAGATAATAACAACAAATCCTTTTAAACGATAAACAGTAAACTATTCATCAAAGCAATTAGCTTTGTGATAACATTTGTTAGCATTTGATGAAACATATGTTTATGCAAACTTTGTTTACAACTAACTAGCAAATTAATATATTTTAAAAAAAGCTATTTCCTTCTGTCTCGTTTCATTCAAAACTGATAACCTATCTACTGGTAAGTGTAGATTTTTCCAAGCAGATCAGGTTACCATTTATTTCTTGTTCATGTGACCGGATTAATCAATAACTACGAACTATACAATTAAAGCGTTTACTAGGACTGTGGTTAGAACAGTCAAGCTTCCAGAATAACTAACCTTGAGACTAATAAACAACGTATCTTATTAGTCAAAACAACTCATAGTAATACTAAGATATCTTCTCAGAAGATACCTATACCATTAAAGGCTCATCAAAATGTAGTCCTTTTGACCAACAACGGAATAATGCAAGCTGTTATAAATGCTTTCATATTCCTCAAACAATTTAATGGCTAGATGGTTTAAGTAGATTAATGTATAATGTACTGCTCTACCATACAACAAAAACTGGGTTCTAGTTTCAATGTGAACATCAGTATGATGTAGGAAGTATATTTGATTGATTAATCCCAAATGGTATGAAACGAGTGCTGGATTCCATTGCTGGCTAAACACCGGACATGATTAAAATTAGCGCTTGGAGGACAATAACGAGGCAACTGACTCAGAATGAACATATCATAAAAGAGACTGATCAATATCAAACCTGAATATCATCAGCGAGATGTAGACCTTTATTACAAACAATTATTTACAGATTTATCGTAAATGTTTCTGTGATCACAAAGTTGTACAATAATTAATTTGCTTCAGTCTGCGTTAAATTTTATACTAATAGAAAAGCCATTCAGTGTATTGAGTAGCGATTTTACTTTTCAAAAAATATTAGCACTAACTAACTGAATACTATAAAAGACTATTGAAAATAATCTAATACTTTCACACCTTAGAACCTAATTAACTCAATAAATCACATCTCAAAAATATCTTCAAGAAATTTTTGAAAATTATGTTAACAGTAAAAACAGTTTGTTGATTTACAGGTTAACTTCAAATCTAGAAAGCTTCTCAGTCAAAAGTGACCACCGTTGAGTAAATAATCTTAAGAAAAATTAAAAAGTTATTTATTGCATTCAGGTTTTAATTCATTGAATCAATGATTTTAATTCGTTATGAAACCTTTCTTTGTGAGGATTATTTAATTTGTAGTTTAGGTCATAAAATAATTTTAGCAGGACAACCATTAAAAAACTGGGGAACACTGGATAGCCAGCCATTCTGTCGCGGTATGGGACAACTGAGCACTATGGCAATAAAAATCACGAAAAATAAAGAAAATTTGCAATTATCAGATCTTCACTCACCTTATAATCGTAGTAACAATGATGATTAGAAAAAGATAATGGGATTAATTCCAATTTATGTTTATGTGATTTACAGTGTTTGTTGATACATGAAGTAATAAGGCAGCAGGTTGATTGCTTATTCACTTGTGAGCTGACTACTGAACTAGCAAATTTTTCTTGTTGAATATAAAAAGAATTCATTTCATTGTGATTTAGTTTTTGTTGATATTGTAATGTTTGTATTCGATGAGCAGTCATAAATAAAATTATTATACTAGTTAATAAAGGTAGAAAAAATGCAACTAATGTTCGTAGTATTAAGAAATTAATATCCGGTGATGTACACAATCTTCCTTCTTCCAAATAAGCAGGTGGAAATGGATCACTTAGTATAATTTGTGCAACGGTTTGTAATATACTCACTATCCATGGTGCAGCTATTTTCAAACATATAGCCAATAAATGTTTTTTATTTGATGTATCTGTTGTAATAGAAAACCATTTTGGTTTTGTTAGTCGAAAGTATGTATCTAAACTTGATCCTAGAAGATGCAATAACACTGCATGGCAAACAATTGTCTCAGAAGCAATTGATATACAACAGAACTGTTGAATATATTCATTTTCACCTATACAAGTAAACAAAACAAAAATTCATGTGTAAAATCACGATAATATTTATGTTTTGTTTATACTAAAGGAAGAGAAAAATGGAGTTTATAGCAGTTTAGTCGACAGAACTTAATCAACAAACAGTGGAAACAAACATTAAAGTGACTACTCCACAGCATTCGGCCAATGTAGTTCTGTTACAGATATACTGAATAGGTAGGAGGTAAATTGAAAAATTCAAATGTGACTATATTAGATCGTAACAATGATCTCTTGAAAATCATGGACTACTGAACTAAGCCACATCAAATGGTTTAAGAAAGCGTAATTTTTAACGCCGTTTTGGACCATATTCATTTTGTTTATTTTTGATATTGAAATGGAAATTTATTGTCATCATTTGCGTGTTTTAATAAAAGTTTGGTTTCTAGTGATATTGATCAGTCAGTCACAAGTTCTATACGCAAATGCGTTTTTTAGTACCAACTGTTCCATCTAGTTAATCAACTATTCATACTCTGTCTCTTAATATTTACACTTTTAGCAACCTAGAACTGTAATAAACTGTAACAAATTTATTCAATTTACAAGACTTATGCATTGAATGTTAGTAATACTGTGCCGACTGAGACAAAAATTGAGTATCTGACTCTGAAAATGCTAAAATTTTATTTATTACTCTAACAAGTTATTCTAGTCACATTTTATTTATAAAAAGGTTATAAGCCACTGAATATATATACTTTTTAACTGGAATTCAAACGGAAACTAAATAATGGACAACGAAATTTCACTGTTTTACATCATATTGTAAAAAAAAACAAACTAGACAATTTGTATTTTTTTCAAAAACCGAATCAATTGTTTAGTTAAGCAAACACTGGTTAGTTAGTGTTATTTTTTAGGAGAGTAGGGTTGTTTTCATTCGGAAAGTTTAACTCTGTCACTTATGTAAGTTAGTAAAAATAATTAAATCTACAAAAAACTTCCAAAATGTAGAATATTATCATTATCACTGTGACAATACGTCATTAGATAATTAAAATATGTTTCTGAAACAGCAGAAATGATGTGAAAAGAAAGCTATTGTCCTTTTGATAACTTCTTGTAACAACAAACTATGAAGTATTCGACCATACATGCATTACAAAAATAAATTATAACCAAGATTGTCTCTAGTTCTGTTAAAAAACGATTGTTATATTCCAAGTAAATGTCTGGAAAATATAAATAGAATATTGTTTGCAGTCTGAATGCTAACTCACAAGTGATATTAACGATAAATTTATGATGTTCATGCTGATTTTATTTTACCTAAACGAACAAATGTTGAGTTTTTCTTTCATGTTGAACACATCCATGCACATTCATACACTTTTATTTAGATAACGCTTCCCACCTGAAATGTCATAATGTTTTTAAGAGTATTTTTCTTTCTTACTGAAAGCAAATGTATTAAATATATACTATGAATATACACTAACATAGTGAAATAAAATAAATTTTGTAATCGGAAAAATCTTTGCAGAAATTATTATTCAGACAAGATTTCAATGAACACATTATTATTATTTATTGTAATTTTTATTTTAAAATAATTTTCATTGCAGACTAAAATAGTATCATTGATTCATTAAGATAACTACATTAAAATTATGTAAAATCTCTAAATAAAATCTGAATCCTTACTTCATAGTTGATATAACAAAATGATCATAATTAGGCAGCTGTTGAAATGCAGTAGCCACTGGACAACTGTTAAGTCCTTGTATAGAATCCTTCAGTAGTATTTATTCATGATCCATTCGTAGATCGGATACAAAATCTTTAGTTCTGGTGGTAAGCATTTAATCCACTGACTACTAAGTGATTGTTGACCGATCTACATCTATACAGCCAGTCGATTGCGTAAGCCGCTTAACTTCATTTTCATGCCGCTGATTTAGGAATGCCTTACACGCGACATGACTGAGGTTCACCTATCAACGATATTGAATGAGAGTTAGGTAATATCATGAGTTGATCATGTTAGATAATGACAGCACTGGATTCCAACTCAGTTATTCAAAAGATAAGGGTTCGCAACGAAACCTATATATATTGGGTACAATCGTAGATGGATTTGGGGGATGCTTACGGTTAGAGAGTCCCATGACAGGTTGAAACAACTGTTCAATGCTTTCTAATTTCTGATGGCTATCTATCTAAGATTAATTCATGATGAAAACTATAAAACTGAATAATCTCTGCAAACTCCTTACAGTATTAATAATAACTTGTTGGAGTTAGGTAAAAACTAGAAAAAAATCGTTTATATGCTGTAATCCATCATGTGCTATTTTCTGTCAGCTAAGATTGTTGTCCTAAACAAATGATCACAAACTAGGATTATGCTTTGAAGTTTTTTGATTATAAGCATCACTGAGGCGCTAGATGGTCTCGTTTTCATTCAGTTTATAATATTTATTTACGTATTACTTCAAAGAGAAGCATGAATTATGATCTCTCATATTTAAAAGCTAGTAACTAAATATATACTAGCAAATAACTGTTGGTAATGTTCACAGATATACATAAATTCTGTATTCTTACGCTGTATTGGCTTAATTCAATTGATAGATAATCTATGCCAAACAATAAAGTCAAATATTATATGAAACTGAATAAATGCGATCGAAATTCCGAATTCATAAATTAAGTGTAATTTAATTATGCAGACAACGGAAATAACTCATAGTGTGATTTAAAAATGATTTAAAACAATACTCATTGAAAATTTTTTTATCAAAGTAAAGAAATTTCTTCTCTATTGAATTGTCATAATTCTTTTTTAAAAAGATAAATAAAATAATGATTTAAAAAATATATTAATCAGTAAAGTGATTTGTTAATTGCTAAGGGATTCACAAAACCTCCGCTAATACTATAAGTGTGAACATGAATAGAGATAATGGTTTATGGTAAGAAAAGCAATACATTTTGTTAGTTTTATTAGTCTCAATAAAAAAAAACATAGTCTAGTGCTTTTGAATAATTTTAAAATAATAAAAGAATATAAAAACAATAATCTACTTGGTTTTCAATTTAGCCTTATCAAAATCTCAAGTAAAACATGATTGTCTTTTCACAAGATACTAAAATGTAAATCACAAACACTGAAATATTTAATGAATCAAATTTAATTTTTTCATTATTATTATAAAAAAAATTATTCTGCAAAATAGCTGAATCTCTCTCTAAAGAATTTAAATCAAAAAAATGAAACATTGATCATTTTTATTAAAAGTATGAAAGTGTACACTGTTATCATTGATCACTGTCTATTCTTTCGATCATGTTTAACCAAATACTCATTTTACTTGGACTATACAATACAAATACCCGAGACTTATCTAAGCGAGTTATTGTTAAAAAAATCGAAGATTTTCAATAAATGAAAGAAATAACCAGAGTAATCAGCATTATACGATGGTGAATAAATGAAAGACAAGTATGAAAGATTTATAATCATTTGAAATAGTACATTTAAATAGAAGCAAGTACGTGAAATATATAAATTGAAAAATGAACAGAATCGTAGGCTCATAACTAGTGTTGGCTGGTACAAGTCACAACTTGGCACTAAATTATAAAACAATATTCATATATGTATATCAATGTGGTGATTTGAAATTCATTTCCATTGTCTCATTGTATCGACTAGATCTAACTATATTTGGCGTACACAATGTAACGACGGAAGAATAAGTCAGCAAAATCTATCAGCTTCTTACCAATATAATAAATAATAGTTATCAGTCAAATTCTCTCGGTTTATTTATAAACTAACAAACTGGAAGTAACTGATCTGTTTCATAAACCAATACAGTTCTCCCCTTGGCTTATTCATGAAGTGACTTTAGCTAGGCCATTGTTTGAAAGCTAGAGCAACAGAACGGCTATTTGTTTGTGGTATGGAACTCCTTACTATAACTCACTAGTGACCAACTTCAAGATCCAACTCCTAAAGTCCTAGTTGGAAGCTTTCACCAGTGAATTTTGACCATCCCGGGTGTGAGAGAGTTATCTACCGTAGGCGACGGATTATGATTGTATAATATAATGAACTGATTACAGTTAGATATGTACACAACCGGGTCAGCGGTCAATATGAAACTAAAGGTCTTGGGCTTCGTTTCTTATAACAGGGTCGTGGATGAATATTGATAAAAAGTCCCACACAAGGGTGAAGCAGCCATCTAGTGCTTTCATGTTTTCCAATGATGGTCTAGCCAACATCGAGTCATGAAATAAACATCGAAGTTGAAGAGCCTTCGTAAATCCCCCACACCAAAAACTCAAGTCACCGACAAATACTTCGAATTATGCTTCGATCATTACAAAGCTACTGAAATATTATCGAACTTATCGTAACGCTTGCTTGAATAATTTCCCAGCTAATCCTATTACTTAGTATTCTCTGACCACAATACACTGGACAAGTTCCAAACAATCAAAAACACGGTTGAACAGAAAAAGATTGTATTCCAAATAGCAAGGTTAAATGGAAATAAGAAGCCGAAGGCGAAGGCCAAAAATAGATACAACGTTAGTCCTTCATAGCATTTTCATGAGAAGCTTCTGGATAGAAATTCACGTGATCGACTGGATTAGATTTAGCCAATCAGCATGCAGCTAACAGTACGAGAATTTTCTACCCTGTTCTCCAAAATTCGATCAGGCGCTGATTGGATAGGAAATTAGCCAATCAGCGCGCAGCAACGCAGTCATGCTTTGATTCCATCTATGTCCCCCTAACAGAACTAAAATCAATGGAGCGCTTTTCAGTGTTGAATTCATTCACAAATATTGATTAAAGTAAATTTCCATTAGTCAAAACAACAGCTACCAAGTGCTTTAGAACAACTTCAAAATGGATTATAATTAGAATTTAAGCATTTATTTTAAGTCAGGTGAAACGTTTAGGAAAAATGAATTCATACTAAAACGTATAATGAAATGAATTGATTTAGTAAAT